AAATGAGATTGAAGTTACTTTAATTACTTTTTAATGAATGAAATTAATAATTAATAAAAAGTTTCTAAAGCTGAGAAAACATTCTCTAAAGTCATTTTTCTTTAGCTGCATTGCTGCCTTTTGAGTAGCACACTAGTCCGCATCAATAACAGATGTGATGTGTCACAGACAGGTGGAGTATGTGAAGAACCCTCATCTGGACAGCATGGAAGAGGACATCTTGTACCACTTCAGCCTGGGCACCAAGACCCATGACCTGCCCCAGATGTTTGGGGATGTTAAGGTTTGTAAGTCCTGACCAGACAAAAGCTAGACAGCAGATTTAAGGTTACATTAAATTTGATTACACTTTAAGCTAGATGTATAAGAATGTGTGGAGCACAGGTTCTCAATTCTGGTTCTGGCTGCTCTTCAAATGTTGTATGTCTCGCTTATCTGACACACCAGATTCAGATCAACAGCTTCATGAACTGAGCTGCGTTCTGATTGACATGTTCACTACACCATATTCCCTGAGCACAGTGTAAATAAACATAATTTGGTTATGTTAGACGTGTACTTTACACAAGACCAGAATTAAGAGCCACTGATATAAAGGATGATTGATAAAGATCAGGATGTTATACATTACCTACTTGTGTGTGTGTGTGTGTGTGTGTGTGTGTGTGTGTGTGTGTGTGTGTGTATACAGGAGAACATACTCAAACTCATGTATCCTCTCAAAGGGGATTATTTTGCAAAGTAATAAATAAGAAACATTCATTTGAGCCAGAATAATTTTTTTAAGGACAGCTATGTCAGAAATTAAGATGCCTGAGATTATAGTCAGTAACACAGTTCAGTGCCTGGGAGCTAAGAAATAATTGACGAAGGGCATGAAAATTGGCATGCAAGGACAAGACCCGACACTGAACACTGCATACATGCAGAGCTATATACATACATATGCAACATGTGCATATATTTACACTAATCTTTACACTAAAAAAGACTAGTCAGGCTAACATGACACAAGTTAAATCAGTGAATGGTGTGTTATAGATAGTTTGATCTAAAAAAAACTTTTGTGGGGAAAGTGATTCCTTTTGCTACAACTGTCTTTCTGTAGTTTGTTTGTGTTGGCGGAAGTCCCAATCGGATGAGATCTTTTGCCCAGTTTATCCATGAGCAGCTGAATCTGCCCGGCAACATGGCAGACATCAGAGATATCTGTGACGGAACGGACCGCTATTCCATGTTTAAAGTGGGACCTGTGCTGTCCATTAGCGTGAGTATCTCAAATATGGATTAGGCTTGTGTTTAAATGAGAGTATATTCATCATACATGCCTGTAAATTGATTTGAACATTATGTAAAATTTGCACTGAATATGAATACTGAGTTAGCAATATTGCTAATAGTGCTAAAAGTGCTAATAAACAATGAGGTGGAAAAATGATTAGAGGTGTTTAAGACAAGCTGTAAGTTATGCTTTTACTTTTATGGATTTGATTGATTTTGGTTTTGTGCCATAGCCCACAGACATGAATAATACTTCAAATCATGCAACTTGTTGAGAATAGCTGTATTGTTACTTTTATAAGTGGCTGGACGTTTTCTTGGCAGACTATTTTAACCTGGACCAATAAGCAACCACCTACATTTTTGCATATATAGGCAAAGACCAAAAAATAAAACATCTGGTTACTAGTATAATTATGTCAGCCCTGTGTTCCTGTGTCTTGTGTTTTGCTCCCCATGTGCTCCCCATTACCCAGTTTCTCCCTGGGTTTATTATGTCAGGTGTTCCTCGTTTAGTTCACAGTATTTAAGCCCTGTGTTTTCCTGTGTCCTGCGTCCAGTGTTAAACGTCTATTCCCCTGTGCTACGTGTGTGTTCCTGCCCATGTAAGTCTTTATTTGGATAATAAAGATTGTTCCTTGTGTTAATCTCCGTCGTCTCCACGCTCCTCGTTCCTACACAGTAGGCGGACCGTGACAAATTACTGTAGTTCAACCACTAATCAGATTTTTTTGTGGAGCACATTCCTCTGTAAACCACTTTTTTATATATTGGTAATGATATCTTTATATGCATCTGTTTGTGTGGATAGAACTGGTGGTCAGACTCATATATGCATAGGCTATATATTTACATTATTAAATTATTTGATGAAACAATATTATTGGCTGAATCATGTCTTACATCATATAATTTAATCTGTAGTGTACTTTTTTCACTAGCATCATAATTTATGTATTTTTCGATGTCTCTGACAGCATGGAATGGGCGTTCCCTCAATCTCCATCATGTTGCATGAGCTCATTAAATTGCTCTATCATGCTCGTTGTCGTGATGTCATCATCTTTCGCATTGGCACGTCAGGCGGAGTTGGTGAGCACTTCCTGCTTTATTGTATGATTGAATTATGAAGTGCAAATACATCATCCAAGTGATTTTAACTTTAATGGCAATTGTGGAGACTCAAACATTAATCAGCCAATAATTCATACTCTGAAGCATTATATATCAGACCTTAATACTGCTGGATGGCGGGGGGAATGAAGTGTATGGGTTTTCTAACCTATACACAAGAAAAAAAATTTGCCTTTTCTTTGAACACACAGGTCTGTCTGCAGGCACTGTAGTGATCACAGACAAAGCTGTAGACTCGTTCTTCAGGCCACAGTTTGAGCAGGTGGTTTTGGGAAAGGTAATCATCAGAAGCACAGAGCTGGATGAGGATGTGGCCCAAGAGCTGCTGCAGTATTCCTCAGAGCTTCCAGATATTCCCACTGTTATCGGAAACACAATGTGCACCCATGACTTCTATGAAGGTAAAGTAACTGTTTTTGTTTTGTCTTGTTTTTTTCATACTGGGTTTGGTCATACGAAACATTACAGAGGCATTCCTGCAGCTCAAACAGTAGAGCGTGTCACTAGTGATGTGAGTGTCATGGGTTTGATTCCCAGTTCATGCATAAACTGGTCAAATGTGTACTTTGAATGCAATGTAAGGCAATTTGTGGGGAAAAGTGTCAAATGCATAAACGTTAACATTTGTTTATAAAACAGATAGATGTGGTCCTGGATGTTGATTGGTCAGTGAGGTGTTCCAGTTGTGTTAAAATATATAATATATTATAGCTGCATGTGCTACATAGTATAAACTATATAACTAGCATTGCCATGCAATCTGTTCAACAGCTATTGTAAAAGGCCAACTATTAAACTTAGCTGACATGTCAGACTTGCATAGCTTTAACTCTGACTGTTAGGGCCTCTTACATCTTATTAATCACAAGCATTCAAAAACAGACATCCTTCTGAAGACTGCACAATAAAAAGTTATTTCTTTTCATCATCACTTCTTTTTCCTGTTGTAGGTCAAGGGCGACTGGATGGAGCACTGTGCTCATTTTCCACTGAAGAAAAATGGGAATATCTGAGAAAAGCCAGCGAGGCAGGCGTCAGGAACATTGAGATGGAATCCACTGTCTTTGCTGCCATGTGTCGTGTCTGCAATCTTAAAGGTAGTTAAGACGTCTACAATGTTTGTTTTCCTCATCACCACTATAACAGTACCAGAGGAAGCAGCTTTGCTTTATGGAAGAAAAAAATGATAACAGAATTTTGATCTTCTGTGAGTTAACTCTTTAAGCATGTGTATATTCCTGCTACGCAGTACTGCTTTATAAGCCTCATACCTCCTTCAAGCAGCACGTAATTACCTCAAAAGTGATACTTAATTATCATGTCATTGACCTCTTAGTGGTGTCATCGATTTATTCATTTTTATTTTTTTTTGCAGCTGCAGTGGTGTGTGTGACTCTGCTGAACCGGTTTGAGGGGGATCAGATTTCTACACCTCACGATGTTCTCCTGGAATATCAGCAGCGACCGCAGTGCCTTGTGGCTCATTTCATCAAGAAGCGCCTCGCACTTATCTCATAAATCCTGTAATGAGCGTCTACAGTGTACATAATACTGTTCATAGTGTGTTTGTGTTATTTAAAGGTGACATTCACATTCCTAAACCATTCTCAGCTGACTTCCTTACATATCATCTCTAATGAACACCTCACTTTTCTAGTTACTAATACTAGTACTAAAACAGTTTGTATTTTAACTTGTAAATCAACAGTATGACTTAAATTATATGTATGGTGAGTTTTCACACTGGCCTTTTACACTGTACCTTAAAAATATTATAACAAATAATTATTTTTTTTATCCTAAGCATTCTTTTTGTAGCAGGTACGCGGGAAGTAGGGGTGCTGAGGGGGCTGCAGCACCCCGTTTTCACATGGTTGCAAATGCAACGCCAAGTTTGTTCATTTAAATGTATTCAGTTTTAGCATTTAATAATTTATTTGTAATGATCTCTGAAATGTAAATTGTAAGTGGGCCATAATAAACCCATGTTTATCTTTATAAACATGATTCATTTTACTTGTGATGTTGTCTATATGGGATGATTAGCCTAATCCTCATGAACACGTGACGCTAGCGCGTGGTATCAGACATGAACTGTACAGAATGCGAACAAGATTAACTTTAATACAAGGAGATAATGGTGCAAAAGCGAATTTCAGATTTTTTTAAATGCCCATCCCAGCAAAAACTTTCCAAAATCGGCATCCAAACAACACCAGCCCCAGCACCGACGTAAGTGAACCAGCCCCCCCAAACGTATCTAAAATATGAGGCCTGTCAATTACACGGTCAAAAACCACTAAAGCACTTTCCTGTCTGCCATCTACTGTCCTATAGAAAAGCCAAAAATATAAGCCCAAAATGGTTATCTCTTTTCCATAAGCATGCTGGTCATATCATGAGGAATTAAATATTCCTTGATCTTCTGAGATGAAGACTGACATATCAATCAATCCTCCAAAAATTAAATAAAGTATCCAAGGCAATATTGTTATAAAAATATGTAGACAGTAGACCCGGTAGGAGGACAAAGCATGACTCATTTATGTGAAAAGAAGTTTACATTCATATAATTATTGGTCAGGATCTGAAGGCAGCGGACTCCATGTCTCGTCTGGGTGGCTTTGCTTTAGAGGTTGGAGCTCAGATAGAATCTGTCTTGCGCTTGTTCAATACGCACTCTGGGATCAAACACAATCTAAAAGAAAGACAAAATGATAAGAGACTCTTGATTACAAATCCATATATATCACCAAAATCTGTTTAAACACATCAGCCTTTAAATTAAGATGATCAAGCAACAATCAGTGAAGTGACGTGACATGTGACATGTGGCCAAGTATGGTGACACATACTTGGAATTAGTGCTCTGCATTTTAACCCATCCAAAGTGCACACACACAGCAGTGAACACACACACACACACACACACCGTGAACACACACCCGGAGCAGTGGGCAGCCATTTTTGCTGCGGCGCCCGGGGAGCAGTTGGGGGTTCGGTGCCTTGCTCAAGGGCACCTCAGTCGTGGTATTGAAGGTGGGAGAGAGCGCTGTACATTCACTCCCCCCACCTACAATCCCTGCAACCTTTGGGTTACAAGTCCGACTCTCTAACCATTAGGCCACGACTTCCCCCCAAGGCAGGAAGTAAAGTAAATGGTTTCCTATAATAGTTCAATGTTTTCTAGACTGTAATTCTGTAGCTGTTGACAGGTTGATATGCTTTTACTTTACAAGGTTAAAGTCAGTAACTTATCTCTGTTTTATGTTTATTTACAGGATGTGCTGTTGAATCTACATGTTATGAAGCAAAAGTCTGAAAAAAAGCTGTTTCACTGTTTGGCCTTGGCCAGTGACTGTTAATGTCAGAGCTCCAAAATGTCATCACAGGTTAACCATTATTATTGGCAGAAACACAATGGCCCATGTATGGGCCCATGCAGGCAGTCAGAAGACTTTAAGAATGTAAGAATCAGTCCTTTCAAATCATGAATTTGAAATCGAACTGGCTGCTCCCCTCAGGATGTTACTTGAATTAAACTAAAATGACTGGAAGAGAAAATTAAAATTACGATGTACAGAATTTCAACACAGTCACATAGAGGATTTGATCAGTCCAACACAGGTTTTGCAACAAAATAATTACATTATTAATTCTGAACAGATAAAGATATATAGAATACATTTGTTTCCAACTGATAAAGACATACACATCAGTAGTGGAATTATTTAATAAATTGATATTTTAATTTGATAAAAAAAAAATGTTGCCCCTTTTGGACTAACTGCATGTTTTCTTAAAAAAAAAAAAAAAAAAAACACTTGCTTCTTGCCTCTAATCTTTTTGTATTCTATCTTTGTTAATTGTATAATAAATAAAAAGAAAACAAAAGCAAAAAAGGCCTCTAACACTAGCTTGCTCTATTCTTTTTCTATTCTATCGGTTTTCTATTTATTTATTATATTATTTTTTTTAAAAAGCCTTGCTAGCGAAACACGACAGTACGAAGTCAACGAGGCTCAAAGGCAGAAGACGAGTGTTTGGGGCGGTCCTTATATCTGGGTAGGATGCATAGTAGGACCAATCACCATCTCCAGCTGGTTAACAGAGGCCACATCCATCTAGAACACAAACATGTCTACACACACGAGCAGAGAGATCAAATACATACAAAAAAAAAAAGAAAGAGTTCACAGATGCATAGACTAGAGGTCATAACACCCCCACCCATGAAATAAAACAGGCCTACAATGTTTTACTGGTTGACACGGGACAGTGAGTCAGCATGAACATTTTCAATACCTTTTTTGTGACATATTTTCAAGTTGTAACCTTGACAGATCAGAGACTATCGCATTAAACGATGATTGGCATTAGACATTTGTTGAAGAAAGGTAGGAGGGTTATGATCAGTGAAAACATTAATAGGCTGTACACTTGAACCAATATACACTTCAAAGTGTTGCAAGGTGAGGATTAATGCAAGGGCTTCTTTTTCTATAGTACTGTAGTTCAGTTGATGTTTGAGGAACTTTTTCGAAAAGAAACTGATTGGATGATTCAAACCATCTTCTCTGGTCTGCAATAAAACAGCACCGAGGTCTGTACCACTGGCATCAACTTCTAACAGAAACGGTTTTCCAAAATGAGGTGCAACCAGTACGGGGGCACTACAGAGCAGAGTTTTCAGAGCTTCAAAAGCAGAATGACATTCAGGAGTCCACTTAAAAGAAACAGCTTTACGGATGATCCCCCACTTTCTGTTACGACCTCTAGGAGTTAGCCGTAACAGAAAATGAGATTTGAGTTCACACCAGAGAGATGCCAAACAAACAATTTTTTTTTCTTTTAACGGGAGTATCTTCAGGGGCAGACAAGGCCAAAACAATACACAAAACAGACTTTTCTTTGACAACTAAATAACCTCAAACAGAAATAAAGAAAACAAAATACAGGCCAACTTCCCTACCTCCCTCAACCATAAACAAAGTGAAAAAAAGATACACATAAATAAAATGGTGCCTAACCGCCTACGTCCCTTAATTTGGCAAACTAGTATTTACAAGAATATTTACAAAGTTATTTACAAAGTTTCAGGGTGTACACAAAGCAGAATCAGAACCCAAATCGTAGTCAAGACAGGCAATGTTCAGATAAACAGGGGTTTTAGAATTTGATCCTACAATAACAAACACTAAACAGAT